GCATCCTCTTCCTCCTGCCGGAGCAAGGCGCACCCCCGCGCCCCCTTTGCGCCTCCCTCCCCTCCTGCGCACGCTCAGCCTGCACCCCGGTTGGTTGGTGCTGTCTGCCTGCTGCCCCGTGCGCTCAGGCTCTTCCTCCTCTGCGCCCCAGGCCTCTGCGCCAGCCGACGCCACCCCCCACTGCGGCCCTGTCCCGGGCTCCCGGCTCTTCCTTACTCAGCGGGGTCCCTCGCTGTGGCCCCCAGGATCCTCTGAACATCCTGCGACGGCGTCCCACCCGGCCAAGCATCGACGCCACACTGAAGCCTCCAGCGGTGGTTTCCAGAGTCCCGTTCCGGCTGGCCCCTGCCCGCCTGTCCAGCTGGTCCACATCCCTGGGCATGCACCTCTTACTCTGGCCACGGGGATCCAATCGGAGCCCCAGGGGCTGCTCAGCCCTCAGAGTTCTGGCATCTCCTCTTGGAGAGCTCTGTCCTGCTTCTTAACTGGCTCCCACCCTCCCAGCTTAGCTGCAGAAGTCTTCTGTCCCCTGCGGACTCCACCTCCCCACCATGAGGCGTGAAGCCCTTCCTGGATTCTAGAGTGCTCTGTGTTGTGCTGTGGTCTCACTCCTCCACGGAAAAGAGGAGTCTCACCTGTAGGCTCTCAATTCAAAGTCTTACGAAAATAAATACCGGCACTGTCACACTCGGCTGTGAATGTTGGGCCGGGCACTCACACCGGAAGGCTCTCCAAGCAAGCTCGGGTTTTGTCAAGAGGGCACTTTCCTTTCCGAGGCGAGCTTGGCAGATGCCTGCTTTTCTAGAGTCAGACCCTGGGAACTCCACACTTCTGTCGTGGATCCTGAATCTGCACCAAGGAGATCCACAAAAATCAACCAACCAAGTTTTAGGAAGTGCGTCATCAGGTCCCTATTCCAGCCGTCAGCTGTGCAGATCCCACTGGACCTCTCCCATTCGAGCCAAACGTGGCGTCTGCACAGATGGCCCCAGGGTCCACTTGTGCCGTCGGGTGGAAAGGCACCACCGGGGGCTCCTAAAACACTGGCAGCTCTCTCGGCAGAGCCCCAAACACAGGAGCCACAAGAACCGGATTCAAAGATCAGCCAGCCGTGGAACTGTCACCACACTTTCTAAGAGAACAGCCTCACCTCTTCCTGTTTATAGCTGTCTGCTTTCTGCATATCGAAAAGCAACGTTCTGCAATAAGATTCTCTTGCCTTCTGTGCTCATTTGCATGGGTGTCTGAATTGCACACCGTGCCCGGGACTCCGGCGTGGAGTCGTCTGGTGGACCTGTGCCAGGCGGTCTGCCGCTCAGCAGCAGGCCGAGCCAGAGACAGAAAGCTGGGGCGGCTGGGCCGGGCCAGTCACCGGCAGAGGCGCTGGTGGGGGCTACGGACGTGGACGCGTCTCAGGGACACGCTGGAACTGGGACTGTTTCCTGCAAGCTCAGAGTCTCTCCTTTCAGAGTTACTTTCTACCTGTTCTATATCGGTGGGTATTCCAGACTCTCTGGTGCTTCCTTCTTGCAGGCTGATGCGCAGTGCTCGCTTTCTGATATACCCTTATTTCCTCCTCCGCTTAATGGACACAGTGTCCCGGGGAGACAACACGAGCACAAGCACTTGGCGTGGTGTGCGACTCAGAAACTCACCCACCATAGTAACTGCCACCCACACTGGCTCATCACTGCCATCACACCCCCACCCACAGCATCACCACCATCTCCCCCACCACCTCCGCCAGCTCTACCATGGTAGCTCTACCACTGCTTTTAGTCTATTTGTGAAGCATCTATGCTGCGGCCACTAGGGCGAGGAGGCCGCAGCAGCTGTGGTTTAGCCTTTCCGAGCTTCAAGGCTGCTTTTCCTGGGTCAGAGAGAATTCCTGGCGTGTCCTGCCTGGGAAAAGGGAGGTTTCATTTTTGTCTTTTACGCTGGTTGAGTTTCTGCTTTTGCGGGGAAAGACTTTTTTTTTTTTTTGAGTTGGAGTCTCGCTCTGTCGCCCAGGCTGGAGTGCAGTGGCCACTCCCGGCCACCGCAGCCTCGCCTGCTGGGCTCCGGCGATCCTTCCGCCTCAGCCTTCCGAGTAGCCGGAATTACAGGCGCACGCTACCACGCCCGGCTGATTTTTGATTTATTGTAGAGATGAGGTCTTGCCAAATTGCCCAGGCAGGTCTCGAACCCACGGGCTCAGGCAATCCACTCACCTCGGCCTCCCAAAGCGTGGGATTACAGGCTGAGCCACCGAGCCCGGCTGGAAGACTTTTTATACATAACCAATTTTGGTTGAATTACAAGCATCAGGGGCCTTAAGTATTCTTATTAGTAGCTTTCCCCCTCGGTGTTTCCAGAATACTGGAATGGAATTTTGGTTTTCTTTTCTCCAGAGTGTTTTCCATGTGCGATCTCATTGTAAGTATTCAACCACGTTTCGTTTGGGTGGTCGGAAGACGTTATGGTGGTTCATGTCCAATTTGGAGGCCAGGAGCCCGGTGGCCTGCCTGTCCGTAGGAGGGGGCGGCACTCAGCATCCTGCATGCTACCCTGGTGCAAGATCCAAGGCCGGGGGTGCCGCCCCGAGGTCTGGGGTGCCCGCCCCCTGCTCCCGGGGCCCTCACTCTCGCCCCTGGGGCTCTCGGCAGGAAGCAACGGGCACGTGCTTACCCAGGAAGACAGGGGCCACACTCGGCGTCGTTCTCCATGTCACCTGGTGTCAGCACGGTGGCTCGGAAGAAGCCCTCGCAGTCCTTGTGGCGCCTGCATATCTGGTAGCCTCCTTTGGAAAACTTCTCCGCCGGACAGGGGACACAGCCGTAGTCCTCGTCTTTGGTGCCGTAGCCGCAGGACTGACCAGGGACAGAGGGACAGAGGACACGGGTGAGTGCATCGGCCAAACCACAAGGACTCGGCCCCCAGGTCTTAGGCAGTGACACATCGGCTGTTTCCAGAAGCTACGCCTGGGGGCCTTGGCTTCCTACTTGCAAAGCCCCCTGGGAACCCACTTGAGCGCTGGTGGCTTCTTTCCCTGCTGCTCTTGGGCTCGAGGCGCTGCCCCTCTTCTGAGAGGCTTTGACATGAACTCGACGAGCCTCCAGGGTGCCCGGTTGGTACGGAGAGCCCTTGGCATTGGCAGCTCTCCATGAGACCCCTGGGCGTGGGCACCCTGGAGGCTTCCCTTGGTCTCCTGAAGGAAAAAGGTGCTGTTCTTGCAAAACATTTCAATACTGCTTCCCATCAGGTGGTCAGGCCCACATTTAGTCAGGGTGGAACAGGAAAGTCATCCTCTAAAAGAATTCAGAAGAGCCGGGCTTGGTGGCTCAGCCTGTAATCCCGCGCCTTTGGGAGGCTGAGGTGAGCGGATTGCCCGAGCCCGCGAGTTCGAGACCCGCCTGGGCAACGAGACCTCATCTCTACAATAAATCAAAAAATCAGCTGGGCGGCCACTGCACTCCAGTCTGGGTGACAGAGTGAGACTCCAACTCAAAAAAAAAAAAATTCAGAAGAACTCCTGTTTAAAGTGTTCAGCTGTCTCCCACAGCCACTAAGCACCGTTCTTGGCTCGTGGCAGTAGCAAAGCACTGCCAGCCTAAGGCAACAGTTTTGCAGACAGGAACCCCCCCCACTCCCAACACACACCAGGCCCCAGAAGGGTGGCGGCCTAGCTGCAGGAGGGCTTACCAGGTAAGGCTCCTCTCCGGGCCCACACGGCGGACACTCCTGGCACAGCCCTGTGGTCTGGTTGTAGTATTCGTTCTCGCCACAGTTTGAGTATTCTGCTCTGGCCGAGCACATCAGGGACACCTGCCACACAAGGGACGTCATTTGGCCTCGGTACCTCCTTGGAAACATTCGTACTTGCTAGTTTTCTTTTCTCCAGAGTGTTTCTGGATCAGTGCCCCGAGAGCCCCAGCGGATCTAGGCAGGAGGCCTTGGTGATGGATGCTCTGTGGGAAGGTGCCCACGGGATGAGCGCCAGTTAATCCCCAAGGACTCCTTGTGGATCACCTGGGCACGGCCACCTGTCTCCCCCACCCAGAGCATGCCCTCCTCACAGCTGCTGGCAAAACCCCATGCCACCGCCGAGGCCTGTTCCAAACCCCCTTCATCCACACCATTGCCAAAGTTGTAGAGGAGGTGGTCCCCTCCCCAAGCCCCTAAATCAGTGGCGCCTGTGGACACTGGCCTTTCCAGAAGGATCCCTGGGAGGGAGGGAAGGAGGAGAACTGAATCTTCTGGATCTTTCTCAGTGTGGGCTCATCATACAGGCACGGGTGACATGTGTTACAACACAAGCACTCAAGGATGCGTCTGTCTGGGAGACCCTATCCCAGGAGCTACCAACAGAATAAATCCAGTCAGTGCCAGGGTGGCACTCGGGCCTTGGCGGGTGTGGTCTCATTTTGCCCTGAGAAGCAGGTGCCGTGGTCGGCACTCCCATCTTACAGCTGTGGAGACTGACGCCAGGAGGCTAAGGGACCGGTCCAGCCACCGCCGGCGGGGGGGCTCAGCCACTTACCACCAGGACAGGGAGCCAGGGTGTCCGTGCGCAGTCACCCACACCGGCCATGCTCTCCCGAGGGCTCACCTGGAAAACACACTTCATCAGCACCAGCCGGGCACCACGGGGCCCCTCCAGCTGGACCCCAGGGGCCTCCCAGCAGGCAGCGTGGGAGACAAGACATCCTGCAAGGAGAGGCGGAGGTTTTAAGCGGAGGCTGCTCCCACGTCCCGGGGCTGACGCCAGGGCTCGCCGTCCCAGAAGGAAGGACTGCACACACTGGGCGGCTGCTGGGCCCTGGAGTCAGTGATTCGTGTCTGATGTACGCAGCGAGCCTGAAGAGCCCTGGCCATACCCAAGCTTTCCGTAGAGGTGCTCCAGACCCACAGACACGCTCCCAGCCCCGCTGTGAGGGTTTCCCTCTGTCGCCCGTCAACGTGGAGGAGTCAGAGAACGAACGGTTCCAGCAGCCCAATTTTACCGCGGAGACAGCTGAAGCCCAGCGAGGTGCAGTGACGTGACCAGGGCCACACCGCTGCTGAATGGACAGAGCGTGGCTGCAGCCCAGGCGCTCGGAAGCTTCTCACCAACCCCTACGTGGACGCTTTGAAGGAGGAGTTTTGATTTCTCCCATTTTCAGTTTCTGAATGGGAGACGGTGTTTCTGACTCAAGGCGATGTTGCCTGAGAGTCTGGGCATTAACTAACCTTGAGGTCCAGAGAGAGACAATGAGCTCATGTGAACACATATACCCCCCGTTGCCACACTTGGGGCCACTGTCCTCCAGCTTTGACAAAGCAGCTAGAGGTTGGCTCGTGTGAGGAACTTTCCAGAACCAGCCAGTGATTCAGACCCCAAGTCCAACTGGGCTTTGGGACCCGCACCCCCCGCCAAGACCTTCCAGCCTTAGAGTCCTCTTGTCCTCAGCGAGCCGCCATTGGTCATGAAAGCTTGCCACTCCCAGCGCCACACACAGCACTGGCTGAAAAGAGACCCGCGACGAGCAGAAGCCCGCCCTCCCTCCACCCCTCGCTCCCTCCCTCTCTTTTTTCCTTTCTTTTGCAAAAGTTCTAGAACATCCTAAAGGCAGAAAAGCAGCCAAAAGATTATTTATTGGAAATTTTAAAAATGACGCTGGGGTCGAGGGGAGCAGTGTCTGTCCGGAGTCAGGGGACAGCCAGGAGACCGAGCCCAGGGAACCAGCCAGGGGGCAGGGCTGGGAGGCGGCTGAGGAGAGGAGTCGTGGCTAGACGGACACACAGTCTTCTTTTCTTGCTCCGTGAGGCTTTTGGAACGAGGGTGCACATTTACGAGGAGCGCCCGATGCATACGTGTGTCGAGAGGCTGGCGAGGGACACGCCTGATGAGTGTAAGTCGGCTCCCCTCCAGAGCATCTTGGGAAGACCCGTCCTGCCTCCGATGGAAACAGCAAGCGCCTTCACTCCCACGAGAGGCGGATGGACACCGTCCAGGCAGGGCCTTGGGCTGTCACTCTTGCTTATTGTGCAGCCATCAAAAGCCCAACCCAGAATCCAGCGGGGCTCCCTTCCCTGGACGCGGAGCAGGGTTCTGCCATCTGCTGCAGAGTGAACGAGACGTCGCGCAGAGGAGCTCGTGGCTGTGCGTGCATGGAAGCGTGCCTAGAGTGACACCCACGAAACTTCCAACCGAGGATTCTTTGGCAGGGCATGAAATGGGGTGGGGGTGACCAGGGAGGAGGGAGGGCTGCGGGGGACGTTCACGGCTTCTTTTACGCATCGTCTGAACAGTTTTGGAGGGTGCGTATGAACACTGTGATCAGGAAGAAAGACCAGAAGACATTCCACTCTGGGAGAAAGTGAATATGCTGGACGCTCTCAGAGCAAGCCAGGGGAGGGTGTCTGGGATGATCTTGGCGGCAGACTGGGCTAGGTGGCCAGCAGACACAGCAGGGCTGGGGACCTGGTCTTGCCCTGGCTCCAGCTGTTTGGCCCCGTCTCGGTGGAGGTCTCACTCGAAGGACATCCTCGTGTCCCCCGGGGGAAGTATTAGCTGCTGGCCTCTTGACGGGGCATAAAAACCGCCTTTTCCCACTTCCCAGCACACTGCCTTGACCATCCGTGCCGCACTTAAGATTGGAAAACACTAAATGGACCGAGGCAAGATGAAAGAACCAACCACCTTGATGCTGAACTCGCTGGGTGTTTTCCTTCAAGCAACAGAGCAAGCTAGGGCAGGCAGCGAGGGGAGGCCAGCAGGGGAGGGCGGTCCAGGGGGCCCGACCTACAGCCCATGGGTGGGGACAAGCAAAGGCCCGAAAGGAGCCCCTTCCCAGCCAGCAGCCCTGGCTGTAGCTTCAGGACAGTGCGGTGAGCAGAGATGGTTTCCACTGAGTCTGTGCACAGGGCCAGAGGCTCTCAGCAGGGCTGGAGGCCTTCCAAGAACCATATTAATGGTTCCTAATTTAATTGGCTTCTAATTATAGCTGAGCCTTGAAGGGCTTCCCTGAATAACTGGGAAGGGCTGGGCCTACCACACCTTGGTGTCAACCAGGAGCACTTATTGAAAGGCTCGTTAAAAATGTTTCCAGCTAAACGCAGGCAGACAGAAAAGAAAAACAGATACACAAAGCAGAACAGAAACCCTGTGGCCTTAGATGCATCTCATTATTGTTAACAATCTCTGAGAGAGTGCATAAGGTTGGGGAGAGACATGCAGAGCTGCCCTATGGCTCCGTGACCACTTCCCTGACACAGACCCAAGCAGGGGGAGATCCAGCACAGGAGCAGGGGATCGCTTGGCCCCAGTTGTGAGCTCCCATTCACTTTACTTTGGGGATCCCAACGCCTTGTGCAGTGGACACTGCTGCCCATCAGAGCCCAGCATCACAGAGGCCCAAGGCAAAGCAGCCAGGAGGCGTGGCTCAGTCTGGTACACTCTTCTGAGCCCATCATTGAGACAGTGATGGAAGAGGGCGCCTGACCTAACCCGTTTGTGCTGCTGTAAGCAGAACACCACAGACTGGCACTCTATGGTGAGTGGGAGCATGTTGTCTCACAGTTCTGGAGCTGGGACGTCCAAGAGCAAGGGGCTGCATCTGGTGAGGGCCTTCCTGCTGTATCATCTCATGGCAACACAGTGCACTCTTATAACAAGCCCTCTCTCAAGACAAGGAGCCACTCCCTCAGTAATGACATCGTCCCATTCACAGAGGCAGAACCTTCTTGACCTCATGACCTCGCAACCTCGTTCACTGGGGGTTTAGTTTGTAACCCACAAGTTTTGGGGATGTGCTCAAACCATAGATGCACTGAAATGTCCTTCCCTTTTGCTGCACACGAGGCTGTGTTTGTTACCTAGTGCCTGTGACTGTTGCATGACCCAAGAGACCCTACAACCATCTGGCCCTAACGGAAAAGGTTTGCCCATCCCTGCCCGATGACTGCTTCTCTGCCCCCCGCCCTTGCTGTCTACTTCTCCACCCAGAGGGAAAACACAATCGTAATCTCATCAGTTGATGACCACTGAACTCGGACCCCTGCCCAGGTACTGCTCTGCTTTAATCCTCACCAACCCACTTAGTACTTTGTTGCTCAAAGGGGGGTCTTGGACCAGAAGCATCAGCATCACCTGGGAGCTTGTTAGAAATGCAGAATCTCAGCCCAAACCTGCTGATTAGGGACGTGCTTTCAACCAGATTCACAGGTGGTCTTTGTGCACATGAAAGTTCGAGAAGTACTGGTCTAGACGACCTCCTAGGAGCGTCTTGTTGGGTAGGGAAGGGGGAGGACATTTAATTTTTAATTAATGTATAATTCCCTCTGGGAACCCAGGAAGAAAGCCTTGGCTGGATTTCTCCCTCCTTAAATTCTGGTCCGCTTCCAGGGAACAAATGCTGCCGTTAGCACCTCCCACCCACACTCTGCACTAGACACCGCGATTCCCTTAATCATGTTAGTCAGTTGCTCATTCATTCATCATGTATTCAGCCAATATCTGTGGAGCTGCTGCCGTGTGGCCGTCTTATTAACAGACAGACAGGTCCCTGCTCTAGCGGGTCTTTATCTGTCCAGGGAGACAGACATGGAACAAATAACTAAGCACAGGTTTACGCACTTTCCTGAGCATCCTCCCCACTCCCACCCTCCCACCCTCCCCAGCTCCAGGCTCCTGCTTGGGCAGCTTGCCTCTTGGAACGCCCAGAGGAGAGGCTCTGCCTCGGTCTACACTTGTCCCCCTGGCTGCATTTGGAGCGCAGGTGTTGCCTACCGCAGGAAGAAAGTGGCCGTCCTCCCTATTAGCTGCCACCTTTGGGGAGAGAGTCTCTGTCTGGGCTGGTGAACAGTCCAGACTCTGGACTTCTGGACGTCTGGGCCCCCCAAGGCGCCACGGTTACGCTTGGATGTGGACACGCTGCCTCTCCCAGAAGGTCCGTCTCCTCTGGGAAGGCCACGCCCTAGGTGCGACCCGCCCGGCGTCCGTGGGAAGCCTCCGCAGGAGCCAAGGTCAGAGTCCCCCTTGCCAGTGCGTAGGGGAGCTGTGCCCCGTGTCCGTGGCCCCCTGCCCTCCCTCCAGCGTGGTAGCCTGCCACGGTGGGCTCGGAAGGACTGGGCCCGATGTCCTCCCCCATCTGCCGTGACCGGCGCCAGAGGCCCTGCAGGTACACCTCGCCTGGGGTGGCCACGTCAAGAACGGGACAGCGGTGTGGGAAGAGGCCTGGCCGGCCCCACACGGCTCCTCAGGTAGCAGCTCTCCCACGCGGGGGCCAGGGCCGGCAGCTGCGCGTCCTGAGAAGAGGCACGGAGTGGGCTCGGGCTTCCTGCGCCCCAGCACTGCCTTTCTTCCCCGACCCGCCTCTCCGCTCGCCTTCCTCCAGGAGCACCCAGGAGGAGGAGGCTGCTGGTGGCCTCTTCCCCACGCCCTGCAAGACTGCTCTGCTTCCCGGCTTCCCCGGGTTCCCAAATCCACCCACCTTCCCCTGCCACGGGAGCCTATGAGGTCATCGCCAGAGCTGCTGAGAGCAGACTCGAGGATTTCCGGTTCACAGGGCAGACTGACCTCCAGAAGCATGTCAGGGGCCACGGGCCATGTCTGTTGCATCTGTCTGT